CAAAACTTGCTTAGGAGCTTGGATTGGACCTCCGTTCCGTCTAATTCCAGAACCGAGCTCATAACTGCTACCCTGTGTTCCTCCTAAGCACACAGATAATGTGGAATAATCAGTGGCAATTATTATCATATTATTTCCCCAAAGTGCAACTGAATAGGGTTTGAACTCCAGAGGGGTCCTCAGCCAAAATACCAACAGCAGAAGACGTGGCTGGCTGCTGTCTTCTCCCTGGCAGCCGTGGGCAGGGAGGATGACCGTCCCATCCCTGGCTGGTTTCCAGGCAGCCATTTTCTTGACACAGAGAGGTTTCACCCCAGCCCCTGGCCACCCATGTTTTCTTCCTTGGGACCGGCCCTTCCGCCACGCTCTCTCCGGGTCCCATTGTGTTTTCCTGATGTACATCACTACTCGTCTCTTTCCTCCTCAGTTTAGGAGATAAGAGCAAGTAATTGTCTTTTATAGACACTGTAATGAAGCCTGTCATCACACAAAAGAAGGTTGCTAATAAAATAAATCAAAGCAGCAATGAAAATGAATGGGAGCAAGCTTTTACAATTAGATGTACTTGTCTGGTGGCAGGGTGCTTCCCGTGAGAAGACTGTTCTGCGGGGTGGGGAAGGCACCGAGAACTGAGCTGACAGGGAATGTGAAAACCCCTTATGGTGGAACAAGGCCCCCAGAGCCAGGTGGGGATGGGGTGGGGGCTGGGACGAGGCAGGACAGGGAGGGAGGCAAGAAAGCTGAATGCAGAGAGGGACTGCCAAAATGTTATCTCAGTGGCCTGTGTTTGTCCCCAGCCAAATAACGTGTCTCCTGCCAGCACTGTGGCACCCCTGTCTCTGCCTTCAGCTGGACTCTTCTGCTGGTGTGGTCCTTGGGGGAGAGGAGAACGCTCTTGGGCCGGGCCCCAAGCAGCGCCCCATGACTTGGCCCTACCTCACTTGCTCCTGTCATTCTCCTGGTCAATTGCAGGTGCCTCCAGCAAGTCAGTTAGAAACACTTCCTCCTCTCTCTGAGCCTCAGTTTCTGCATTTGGGAAATTGGGCCATAGGATAAAAAAACATGATGGGGTTGGGCCAAGGGACAAACACTGTATAATTTCAAGGTGGTGGCATTTCTCATCCTTTTGCAAGTAGAAATAGATGAACATTAATCAGGGTTGCTATGACCAGGCATCAAGCTAAACGCTTTTCACAGGCTGTCTTCTGCCACCTCAGCAGCTTGCAAGGCAGCAGTGACTGTCATCCCCAGGTCACAGATGAGAAGAGGGCGGCTCCCCAGGTGAATGCCTTGCATGAGGTCACACAGCTGCATGAGGTGGCGTGGGGACTGGAGAGCGGTGTGTACTCGTCACCCCCATGCCATGGTTGAGTGGCTGCTGCCTCAGCTGTGAAGGAGGTGGGGGAGGGCCCCAAAGGTGCACAGGTAGGGGACCTGGGCCATGAGGAGAACCACAGGACCTGGGATCCAGGACCAGCTCTGACCGGCTCCCCAGCCCAGGGAAAGTCCATGACACCATTCTCTGCCTCCAGCTTTTATGTCCCTGCAAGGAGCGCCCCCTCCAGACTTGGGATCCTGCCAGCTAACCAGTGAACACCATGGGAGGTGCTGACTGCTGTGTAAGATGCATTCTGGGTCGCAGAAGGAGTTCTGAAAAGGGGTGTGCCCCACGCTGGGCCCTCCTCAGGCTGCTCAGGGGCTGCCAAGGGACTCAGGAGCTGGCAACAGCTTTAGCGGAACAGGTGTCTGTCTCTCTGAAGGCAGTTCACATTCTGAGTCAGCCGTCAGTGAATCATGTGCAGGGCAGGGATGCCATGGAGTAAACCCATCATCCAAAGCCAGAACTCCCCTGGGTTCCAGACAGCCCAGGAATCAGAGAGCGTTTTGGATGCTTCAAAGCTCTCAGCAGTTCAAGGTCACCTTGGTCCCTCAGGAAACTTCAGGCTGATGGCCATCGTGGTCAGGACCAAAGAAACCTGAGGTCACGGCAAAGAGAAGGATTTGGAAATTGATCATCTGTCTGCATTAAGGAAAGTTCCTTGCCAGGCAGAGCTAGAGGCGCATCCTCGTTAGCTAATGCGAGTTTAATATGGACTTGAGAGCTGGACGCCAGCCTAGCCAACTGCCCAAGAGACATTCAAAAATAGAGCGGGGTAAGGTGTCCCCAACCTGCTCAGCACCGCTCCACCTCCCAAAAAGCAGGGGCAGCCCAGCAGCGTCCTGGGCAATATCCGCCAGACAAAAGCATCACTTCCACATCAATCACTTTGTATAAAAGAAGAGTTATTGTTATGGGATCCTGGCGCCTGATCAATATCTCCTGCTTTGAAAATAAACTTCTTGGCTTGGCCTTGACATTAATCTACCATCAGGAGCCCATTATCTTGAGACCAATGTTCTGTTCTATTGACTTGCTTGATTTTTTTTTTCTCCCCCAAGATCAGAATATAATTGCATTTCTCCAGGCAGCACTTCCACTAATTGCAGCCCCATACATGCACATCCCCTTGCGGGAAGCTCAGGACAGAGTACACATGGGGTAGGATGGAAAGAGCTGCTGGCAGGAGATCCTGGGGGACTGAGGACCCCCAGGTGCATGAAGTGGCTCTTCTAGAGCCCCTGAATTAATGAAGACATTAAACAAATCCCTAATATCCCACTGAGCAGTTCAAGCTGAAAAAGGCTCTTTTGCACAGAATTGGCATTGTAGATGTTCCCACTCCTACTCCTCATTTCACAAGTGAGGACATATGGTAACAAGATTAATAATACTTTCATGTATCCAGCTGCGTCCCACCATCACCAGAGCCCCCACAAACCATGACCCATGCCATGAACCACCAGCCGAAGCCATGACTGCCTCGTATCTGCCAGTCTCCCAGGCCTTCCCTCCCCAAAGCCTGCACCCAGCCGGCCATTCTACAGTCCACAGGCAGAGTCATCTGTGTAAAATAGAAATTGGATTATGTTGTCTCCCTCACCAAAGGTTTTCGGTGAAGATCTGCCCTGTGAGACCCTTATGACTGTTCCCGCCCACCTCTCTGACCTCCCCTCCCATCTCTTCTCCCTCTCCTCTGGGCCACTCTGGCTTGCTTTGTTCAGTGATTATGCCAAGCCTGGCCCTACCCCGGGGCCTTTGCACTTGCTCTTCTCCCCACCTGTTCTCTCACCCCTCAGCTCTTTATGTTACTTTTACCTCCTCATCATTTAAGTCTCGCCTCAAATATTCCCTTCTAAGTGAGGCTTTCCCTGACAGGTGCGGGTGACATTGCAGCCCACTCATCCATACAGAGTCTATCCAGGGACCTCGCTTTGGCTTCCTCATAGCACACATCACCATCTGAAACTGTCTCCCTGTGTTAGTTTACCTACTGCTGCAGGAAAAAAATTACCCCAAAATACAGCATCTTAAAACAGTGAGAAACAGCTATCATCTCAAAGTCTGGGTGGGTCGGATTTGGGAGGAGCTTAGCAGGAGAATTATGCCCGGGTCTGTCATGAGGTTGTAGTCAGGGCATCCGCCAGGGCTGCCGTCATCTGAAGGCTTGACTGGGGCTGGAGAGTCTGCGTCTAAGATGGCTCACTCACGTGGCTGGCAAGCCCACACTATTAGCAGCAGGCCTCAGCTCCTCACCACTGGACCTCTCCACAGGGCTGCTTGAGTGTCCTCACAACATGGCAGCTGGCTGCCCCAAAGCAAGTGATCCCAGGGAGTAAAGTGGAGGCCTTATCATTTCTGCCTTGTCCTATTGGTTACACAGGTCAGTCCTCAGGGGACTCATCTGGGAGGGAACGGCGTAAGGGGGCAAATACCAGGAGGCGAGGGTCATTGGGGGGCCATCTTGGAGGCTGGCCACCACACTCCGCCCTCCCTGAGAGCAGGAGCTTTGGCTTATTCACCACTGTATGTGCCCAGCACAATGTTTGGCATGTAGCAGCTACTCCCTAAGTATTAGTCAAATGTATGAGTTAATCACTGTGGCATGTAACTGCTTTAACTGTGTGCCAAGCCTTGTGCTAAGCACTGTACATCCTTAGGGCTGCCTCATTTAATCCTTTACAGGTGAGGAACCTGAGCCTCAGAGATGTTAAGTACCTTGATCAGTCACAAAGCTGGTAAGCGGATGGGGCAGGATTTGAACCCAGGACTGCTGAGGAGGGTCTTTTTAGGCTGGGCCTCTCGGTGGGTGTGAGTCAGCATTCATTGTACTTAATAAGAATCCCCAAATTGCTCTCCACCCAGTGCAAAGTCAAACTCAGGAGCTCTTTGTGATGCCAGACATGGAGGGAGACATAAGGAGAAACAGGGTCCCTCACTGCAGCCATCCCCAGCTGCATGGCTTAGCCAGCCAGATTGCAGGAAAGGCAGCACAGGGAGCCTTGCTCAGGGTGACCCAGCAAGGAGAGGCTTACCGATCCAGGAGGAAACTCCAGAATCTAATGCTACATTCAGTCAATATGCAGAGCCTGCGTTTCACGTTGTCCCCTCTCACCTGTGGCAGACATCACTAAGCGATCGCCTAGCCTTTCCCACTGAGCCCCCAGGGCCGCCTTACAATTCTAATCAACACGGCACTCCAAGCATCGTCAGTTGTTTAGAGCTCAGAGTTCGTTTAGAGCCCAGAATTTAAATCTGGGTTTAAATTCTGGTTCCACCACTTACTAGCCCTGTGACCATAGACTAGCGTCCTAGCTTCTCTGAGCCTCATTTTCTTCCTCTATAAAGTGGAGCTCTGTCACTACTTACTTTATAGGTGTTCTGACGAGGCTTACCTGCAGCTGTGCATGTGAAGCTCAGAGCATAGTGTTTGGCAATGAGTAAGCATCCGATGCTGTCAGCTATTTTTGCTACTGTTGTTATTACTGTGTTTTCCTCCATCCCTAGTTCTGTGAACAGGGCTTTAGTAGACAGCACAAGCTTATGCTTTCAGTAAATGCACCAAGGAAGGGATAGCGAATTGGAGGCAGAAATATCATCTCTCTCCCTTCTCATCCTGCAGGTGTGGATGTGTGGGGGCCGCATGGAGGACATCCCCTGCTCCAGGGTGGGCCATATCTACAGGAAGTATGTACCCTACAAGGTCCCTGCTGGAGTCAGCCTGGCCCGGGTAAGCTGGTGGCTTCCCTGGTGGGGAAGGGGTTAGCATATGCCCATCAGCAGAGCAGGGGCATCCTGAAGCATCCGGGACCCCAGGCCAAGTGAGGGTGTGAGGATGTACACCACCACCACTCTTCAGGTAAAAGCCAATGTCAAAGAACTTACCTAAAGCCCTGCTTACCCATTTATTAGCTGTGTGACCTCGGGAAGGTTGCTTAACTCCTCTGAGCCTATGTTTCACCTTTGTTTAAAGGAAGATAATTTTTTCCAACTCTTAGCATTGCCAGAAAATTAAGGAGTTTCCCAAAGTGCGACGGACAAGATGATTTGAGGTGGTAGACATAGGAACATTTTTATTTACATGTGTTTAAATTCATGTGGATTAGAAATTGATGTGTATACAGATGGGTGTGTTTGGGAAAGCCTGAGACAGGGTACTTACAAGTCCTGGCACAGGGGCAATTAATAAATGTCAATGTCTTTCTCTCCCTGCCCCCCCCCCGCCTTCCCCACTTTTATTACCAAAAATTCTATCTGTCAAACTATTTCATGCCTTCGAATGGTTTGTATCAATTATTGCTTCAATTAAATTGGCCACTAGCTACAAATGGAAATCTGTTAGAGATTTGGGGTTTTGGAGGGCTTTTTTGTGTTAATGATATTTTACAAAACTTTAATAATAAATTTTAAAATATTACGTGTTATGAGAGAAAAAAAAATCAAGTTGACCACAAAAGAAAACCGAAGAGATGGGACTGTCCTCAGAGGATAAAGAGGGCTGCAGGGAGGCTTGGGGGACGCTGGAAAGGTCACAGGCACAGCTTTGCTCATGGGAACATCCCACCCCATTGTTGCCCCGTGGAGACCCCTCCCGACAGAGCCCCCATGTAAGCCTGTTTGACATGGGTCCACATAGCCTCCTCTGTCCAGGCCTCTGCGTCCCCCTCAACACCTGACAGTCGACGACATAGCCCTTGGGTCCTGGAAGAGCCTCTGTCCCGCGATTTACAATAAGACTGAGAGGCTCTGAGAGGCAGCGGGTCTCCCGGCGCCATCCGAGGATGGAGAGCTGTCTCCGGAGGCTTCAGGCAGGTTACCAGGCTATGGGACCGGTGTTGAGGGAAAAGAGAGCCGGCAGTGCCCTCTAGTGACCTAAGATGGCAACGACATCCGCGCCAGTCATCTGGACTTTGGACAGCTCTCTCTGACGTGGGGGTCGGGTTCTAAATTCAGCTGGAGACGCAGGAATTACGATTCATCTGACATACTATTGACAATCCCAGAGAAGGTGCCAATCAGGGAAACTGCGCAAAGTTGCTCAGTAAGCCAGGACTGCGATTCTTTCAGCTACTAGCGACGGTGGGACCATGGGGACACCTCTGACTGCTGAACAGGACCGCTCCCAAGCCACCCTTCCCCTATCCAGAGCCGTAGTTTATAAGATCACCCTGGGAAAGAGACACTGCCACCTCCTGTTTGTGGAAGCAGCGATGAATTCAGCGGGTAACAGCCAACTGTCGTAGCACATGATTTCTGTGAGCTAGGCACCTTGCAGAGCGTCTTACATACTCATCTCACTTATTTTGAACCCCCATTTTAGAGATGAGGAAAGTGAAAGGTAGACACAGTAATTACCTAGAGCCAGAATTCAAGCGCACTTAGGTTTGACCGATGCCTGGGATAAAGCATTTGCCCTTTAAATAGTGACTGCTATTGTCAGTATCAGTATTCATGTCAGCATCAGTATCAGCAAGACTGGGAAGTTTATTTCAATGTCTTGTCTGAATTTAAACATGTTAACTTCTTTTTCACCTGTCTGTGCTGAATCAGCTTCCTGGGCCTTTAAGCCAGTTAACCATCCAAGTGGTTACGGCCCCATGTAAGGTGTGCAGGGCCACAGGGATGTCTCACTCAAGCTCCTCTGACTTTTTATCATTGTATCTAACTACCCTCATCTAGTTGCAGATCATATTTTAAATGTTTGCTCCGTGTTCTAACAGCCAGATCTCCCTAGAGCATTATCTCCTAGAACATCATTTTGATAGACTGAGGAGAGGCATCCTCAAAGCCTAAGAGAGCACGATACAGAGGGAGACCAACGTCTTACTGAAGTTGTGCCGACTCCGGAAGGACAAACAGCCAGGCAGCAGTGAGGTAGCGATGCAGGAAGGAGGCGCTCGCCTGCCACCAGCTTCCTGCCGCCAGAACAAGCAGCCAGTCTCAACTGGTTCAGTAACTTTGCTAAAATCCTTCTTGCCTCTGCCTCAGACAAAGGAGTCTTAGCCTAGGGAAGGCAGTGACAGGAACCCACTCAAACTTGGTGAAACAGAACTGGAGACGTACCCCAAGGATCCAGGCACAAGAAGAACAGGGGGCCTCAGACAGGCCTGGCCCCCGGAACTAGGGAGGTGTTAGGAGGAGGGATAAGAAGAGCGTACAGCCCTCTAAAATCCCAGAGTCCTTTTCATGACGCTAACAAGGGGAGGTGTAATAGAAATAAATGTAAAGTCCTTTACTTTGGTCCACTCAGTGGTACAAAAGTTCAAGGTCTGGGAGAAATGGCTTATTAAGCTACGTCTGGAAAATGCAATATTAAAATAGTAATTTAAATATCAACTGAAATTAAAATATTATATGACTTGATCCTGTAAGGATATGACTGTTGAATTTCAGTCAGACTGGCCACCCTTGCCTGCTGTGGGAGAGGAAACTACAGCAGTTGCTCATGACTCCTGTGGCTTGAGCGCATTGGACAGTGAGCCAAAGGACCTGGGTGGGCAGCCTGGAGAAAGGAGCATGTTCAGGTGGGCAGGCTCTGTAGGCCTTCAGCTCCCTCTGGGCATGGTTTTAAGTTAAACCCAGCATTTTCCGTGCAGGGGCCTGGGCCCGGGGGGATAACAATGTTCCTGAACTGCTTTCTAAGCCACTGTCGACCCCTTCAGCACTCAGAAGCAACAGGCAGCAGCCAGGAAATTCCTTAGTTTCCTAGTCCCGAACTCAGAGCAACAGCATTGAGGAGTTGGTGGGTTTTGTCTTTGGTACCCGGGCCTCATCCTGTTGGCTTCCTTTCTCCTCGCTCAGGAGTCAGCAAACCATTTTTATGTGGCCTGTGAGCTAAAGATGGTTTTTCTATTTATAAATAGTGGGGGGAGAGGGGGTAGAAAAACAAAAGAATATTTTGTGACACATGAAAATTAAATTTCAGTGTCCATAAAGTTTTATTGGAACACAGCCACATGCATTCATTTACCTAGTGTCTAGGGCTGCTTTATAGCTACATCATCAGAGCTGAGACCATATGGTCTGCAAAGCGTAAAATATTTACTGTCTGGCCCTTTACAGAAAACATTTGCCGACCCCTGCCTAACAGTCTGTTTCTAGAGCAGTCATTTACACTGAGGTGTGAATGACTGATAACAGCCTGAAGTGCTGGCTTGCTTTTACCCTTCAGAAGAACATTTGGGCTGCAGTAGGGAAAAAGCTTTATGATAGAGAAAAAGCTGGAGACTTAAATGTGGGAGATGGGGGTGGAGATGTCTGGCAACAGCATTTCGGAGCAGGGAACTTCCCCTGAACCCTGAAGCTGTGTTCTTCCAGAGCCAGCTGTCAGAGGTTCTCAGCAGGTGGCGTCTAAACTGCAGATGGAAGGGGAATGTTTGTCACAGTTACAAAGGAGAATTCACGTTTCCTCTGTCTCCAAGTCTGCTCACACACAGGATGTTCCTCGCCTGTCACCCCCACTTGTGGTTGTCATTTTTTTTATTGATTATCCTTGCATTTCATAATAAAAGTAGCAGCAACTGTTCCACCTCAAACTCTTTAAAATTGCAGCTGCTGATGAACTTATACCTTTGGGTTGCAAATTTTCATTTATTTTTACCATGCAACTTGGTCAGCACTCTTAGTTAAAAATGACAGAAACCCAACTCAAATTGGCTTAAGCAGAAAGGAAATTTTCTGACTTCCGTAAATGGAAAGTCCAGAGGTGGTTTGGCTTCAGGTATGGCTGGATCCAGGCACTAAAAGGAGGAATGTGTTCCCCGATCTGGCCCTCAGCTCTGCCTCATTCTGGGTTGACTTCAACCTTGGACAGGCTTTCCATGTGGCCCGCTGCTCTAGGTGGCATCTTACCCATCAGAATTACCCAGCAGTCCAAGCAGAAACACAGCAATTCCTCCCCATAGCTCCAGCAAAAATTCCAGGACTAATGCCTACTGATTCTGATTGGTGTGGCTTAGGTCACATGCTTACTGCTGACCAATCCCTATGTCCAAGGCTATCTGTATTCCCATTAGCCAGGCTGCGTCATGTGCTGCGTGAGGTAACAGTGAGGCAGAGGTGGGTGCTGAAAGGAAACCTGGTGGAGGGCTAGCACTAGAAAAAGAAAGGATGGAAAATGGGCGGGCAAAACAGTAGCAGTCTTAATGTCCAACTGTAAGTTGTAGAGTCTTTAAAACATGCATGAATAATAGACATATAGAAGGCTTTAAAACACGGTGCAGCTAGAGTCATTGATACAACGTGAAACAAGAAAGACTGACCTCAACCTCCGAGACTCTTTGCACCCCACGCCCTGGCCTCGGCCCGAGAGCCTGACCTTGCACCTGCCTGTCCCCCTCCAGAACCTGAAGCGAGTGGCGGAAGTGTGGATGGACGAGTACGCCGAGCACATCTACCAGCGCCGGCCAGAGTACCGCCACCTCTCCGCTGGGGACGTCGCTGCCCAGAAAAAGCTCCGCAGCTCCCTGAACTGCAAGAGTTTCAAGTGGTTTATGACCAAGATCGCCTGGGACCTGCCCAAATTCTACCCGCCTGTGGAGCCCCCAGCGGCAGCTTGGGGGGAGGTGAGTCTGGAGGGCAGCGCCAACTATATAATTGGGACCTGGAGTTTGGGGTGGGGAGGGGGGCATCGCAGACACTGGAAGTAAACGTGGCGGAAAGGAGCAGTGGATGTTCCTGTAGCATGTATCACCTCTGCTCACAGGCGTGCTGCATTGCCCCATCAGGTTTCACTTACAGGCTCAAAGAAGAAATTACTAAAAATGTTAAGATGGCTACAGCAGAGCTTTAAACCAAGCACAGGCCCTTCTGTGCACCGGGCCTGTGAGTGAGAGTGCCCGTGTCACACACCCAGACAGTCGTAGCAGGGGAGAAGTGCTTCATCACCGGTCCTGCTTCCTGGATCTCAGAGCTGAGAGGACCCACTCACTTAGACATGGATATGTTGGGGCTTGGGGAGAGGGCGCGGAAGAGTTGGCGCTCTTTCAGTTGCAGGTGACAGACTGCAATTGAAAGTGCAAAGGAGGCATTGATTGATTCTTGTAAGAACCTTGGATAGCTGTGGCTTCAGACACACCTGGAGCCAGGGGCTCAAATTATGTCAGTCTCTTTTTCTCCTGCTTAAAGCTGCTTCCTCTTGTGGTGGCCTCATGCTGAAGGTAGCAAGATGGCTTCCAGAAGCTTTAGGCTGGCAGCCCCCCAGCTTGGCCAACCCAGCAGAAAGTAGACCCCTTTCCCAGGAGACCCAGCAAAGGGCTAGGCGTCGAGCCTTACTCTTGGGTCTGCACCGATCACTGTGGTCGTTGGAGGAATAGGGACATCAGTTCCCTATGCTCTGACTGGCTACAGGGTCGGGGAGAGGCAGGCACCTGTGGAAAGACAAGGTGCTACCTGAGGAAGGAAATGTGTGCTGGGGCCAGCAGAAACAGCAGGTGTGACTGTTTCAAATTCACACAGCGAGTTAGAGGGACCTTCCTGACTCAGCTGTCTAGCTAGCCGCACTCAACAGCAACGTGAGTATTCTAGAGCAGATGTTGTGTGGACTCTCCTCATTGAAGCTCTTCACTCTTCATTGCTTTGCCAGCTTATTGGCTTTCTCCCCTGCACTAGTTAAAGTCCTCTGAGAAACAGACACCAAGATGGGATTAGACGTGCAAGGGACTTACTGGCCTGAGAGAAAAAATGAGAAGGGGGCTGGGAGACAGAGGGTCTGCCCCCCGGGACAGGGAGACGGAAGGAAGGAGGGCTGGGGTAGTCCTCAAGCCAGATCTCCTGTCAGAGCCGTCTAGCATCTCCCAGGCATGGCCCCAGGCTCCCTGCTGCCCTCAGTTGGTGGCCGGAAGCAGCCATGGGAAGCGTATCCTCCACTGGGCAACAGTGTGGGTTCAGAACATAGCAGCTGGGCAGTCAGGCTCCCTGCAACTGGACACCAGGGGCACATTGTCACAGCTGTCATATCCCCACCCCTCACACAAAATGGGAATGGCATCTGTGAGGTAGGAACCACACGGTGTGACACCTAGCACAGTGGCCTGCCCGTAGTAGGCGCTGGCTGACCACGCAAGCAGCCTAGGCTGTCACACTCCCGGCCAGTGTGTGTGTTCTTCTACCACACCACGCCCGTCTCATGCGACCACTGTTGTTCTTTGGATCCTGCTACCTCTTGCCGTTCACCTGCCCAGCTAGCAGAGTTCAGCCAAGACCCTACATCAAAGATACCACGTCCTTTTCTAGGAGGGTTTTCAAGGTGTGGTCCCCAGATCACCTAGAATGAGGATAAAATTGGATTCCTGGGCCTCTTGGATCAAATTCTCTGGGAATGGGGCCAGGCAGTCGTCCTTACAACACCCCTTCACCCACAGGCCCCACCACACCCAGAGACTCTGCGTGCTCTAGGACAAGCAGGGTTTGGAGGCGCCCCTCTCTATGGACTGAGTATTCCTTTACTGAGGGTACAAGATACTGCCATCGGCCAGGGCAGGCTGTGTTAGGGGGCTCAGAGCTCAGCCCATCTGTGTCTCCACCTTGGTTCCCTCCTCCACCCCTGCAGGGGCCCTAGTAGATGTCTCTAGGTGACTCACCAGTCCCTCTTTCCCTCTTTCTTGTACAGATTCGCAATGTGGGTACAGGACTGTGTGCAGACACAAAGCACGGGGCCCTGGGCTCCCCACTGAGGCTGGAGAACTGCGTCCGGGGCCGCGGCGAGGCTGCCTGGAACAACATGCAGGTAAGGGCCGCTCCTGGGCACTGGCAGCCAGGTGCTGTGTCCCGTCGGCAGCCTAGATGCTCACGTGGTCAGGGCTGAGAGGGAGAGGCCATGGGTCAACAGTGAGTGACACACGTCAGCCCAGGGGATGACTTATAAAAGCTTCCCAAACACCTTAGGAAGAGGAATCCTTCACCCAGCAATAAAACCATCTACCTGGACTGTTGGTTACAAACGATGGACACACAGCCCAAATGGCCTTCCACAAAAAGAGCGTTATTGGCTCATGTCATGGAAACGTCTGGATGATGTCATTGGGCTCGCTCCAGGGTCGCAACTCTGCTTCCCCCTCTGTTGGCTTCATTTAGAACCCGGCTCTTCCCATGTGGTGGCAGATGTGACACCCGCAGCAAAGGCTTCCACGGTGCTGGAAATGCCCTGGGGCTCTCACATGTTGGCTTTTCAGAGCCAATTACATGAGGATGTGATACAGTCCTGATATTGATCAGGCCTGGGTCACATGGTCACTTCTGGAGCCTGGGTATGGCCAGCTCCACCTGAAGGAGAAGGTGGGTCACCAAAGGATCCTTCCCAAGCGATGCTGTCAGAAGAATGAGTAGCATCAGCCAGCCTTGCCGGAAAAGCCACCACTCTCAGGAAAGTGCATTTAGCTTTGCATGATCCCGTCCTCCAAGCAGTTAACCCCCACGTTAAATCACACGGCATCCACGGACTCTTGGTTTGAGGATACCTTGTTCTAGTCCCCTCACTGTGGGTTTTCTGGCATTTTGAAAGAGTACACTGATAGAAGCCCATCATGTGGATCTGCTGCAAAAACAGAGCTCGGAAGGGGGACCTGCAGCCTCGCTGAGCATGGACAGCTCCCCTCTCGGACGGGCGCAGCGCCCAGCCTGACAGTGCCGGCCGCTCACTGTCATCCATCCTTGCTAACAGTGCTCGTTAGATAGTGGCTCTGCTCGACTGAGTCTTCTGAATTCTCCAAGGCTGTGATACGGTGTCTAGGATGTACTTCAAAATAATGTGGGGTAAAGTTGTAACAAGACTCACCACACGTTGGTCATTGTTGAAGCTGGGTGATGGGAACAGATGTGATCAATATACTCTTTTTCCTGGACCTCTGTATTTAAATGTTTTCATAATTACAAAAAAGAGCAAGTCCCCTCACTTTGCCTTCCCTATCGTGATGTCCCCGTGTGTGCAGGTGTTCTCCTTTACTTGGAGAGAGGACATCCGGCCTGGAGACCCCCAGCACACCAAGAAGCTCTGCCTCGATGCCACCTCCCACACCAGCCCAGTCACCCTCTATGACTGCCACAGCATGAAGGGCAACCAGCTGTGGAAGTACCGCAAAGTAAGGCAGGCAACGGGGGGAGGGGGGGGGACGGGGCAGCCTGCTTGGTTTCCAAGAAAGAAAGAAAGAAAGCGTGTCATGCCCACCCCTTCCCCCAGCAGGGCCCACTCACTCATTCATGTGCTCCACCAGCCTTCCATGCCCGGCTTTCCAGACATCCAAGAGAAGCCAGAAATCCAAAGTTTTACGTGAAATCTCTAGAATCTTCAGTGTTGGCAACTGAGTCCATTAAAAAAAAAAAAACCACCACCGTGAGAACCAGTGAAATTTGACCAGAGACAGGCAGTGGTTAGGGCCCAGGCCCGCAGGTGGTGTGCTGTACTTCTGCCCACAGCCCAGTGGGCACGACTCGGGCACATGGCAATGCCAACTGCAGGGAGGCAGGGCAGGGTCTCACCTTGTGCTCAGGAGGAAAGCCAGACGGGCCTGTGAGCGACTGGCCAGTCCCTGCCTCACTGCCTTGTTGCCGTTGCTGCCGCCGCTGTTCGCTCGTATCCCCAGCGCTGCCCAGCTGATCATCTCTGTGTTTTGTAGGACAAGACCCTGTACCATCCCATCAGTGGCAGCTGCATGGACTGCAGTGACAGTGACCACAGGATCTTCATGAACACCTGCAGCCCCTCCTCACCCACCCAGCAGTGGCTGTTTGAACACACCAACTCCACAGTGTTGGAAAAATTCAACAGGAACTGAGCGCACACATCCCCTCGGCAGGCCTGGGGGCCCTCCCTGGCACTCACTGCAGCTGTCCTCTCTCGAGGGAGGCAGGGCTTCCGTGGGTACCATGATGTAAAGGTGCTGGCCAACTGGTTTGGGATAGGGGGCTCTTGCAGCTGGTGCAGAGTGTCTACCTGGTCCTTGATGCCCTGACATGTGGAGGTAGTGTGGAGAGCAGACCCCACAAGAGGCCCCACGAGAACGCAGAGCCCACTTTAACCCCTGATGGCATCTTGGAAATCTGGGAGGGCCTTTGCAACTTTGTCACCGTGTTCCCTTGAGCATTATGTCGGAGAGATGCCAGGGCCACCCTAGGCCACCCAAAGCTGAGTCCTGCAAGGTCACCAAGCCTTCCGATGGCTCGTGCATAATGGTCCTTTAGAAAGGGAGGCAAATTTTGCCTGTTAGGGGCAGCTTTTAGCACCATTGCCACCTGTTTGCAGAAGAGAAGGAGGAAAGTCTTTCCCAGGCCGCTGGTTTCAGCCTTTTAGTGCTTGCCTGTCATGGGGGTAACCGCAGTTACCATCCAGTTTCTGTTCCCTGTCACAGCCCCAGGTGATGCAGCCAAAGGCCATGCCTGGGGCCCTCGAGTGTTCAGTACTGAACCCTGGCCAGCTGCCAGGCCTGGGGTCAGAAGCTGGACCTGCAGACATTCCTCCGCAGCCGTGGACACACAGGGTGTCTCCCCTTGCTCTCTGGGTACTTGAAATGCCCATTTTAGGGCTCTCCAGGCACAAGGTCTGCCCAGCCACCAGCTTTTCAGGACTGTGTTTCAGATGGCCTTGGGCCCGTGGAAAAGGCCTAGTAGAGGATCTCCAAACAAGAAATTCTAGCCGAGCTGAATTTCCCAGTCAGTGCTTCCATTCTCTCTCCCTCTCCCTCTCCCTCTCCCTCTTACCTGCCTCAGGAGAGGAACAGGTGTGACGTGCTCACCTCACACAGTCTGGAGGCCTCCTGGGTGGACCATGGCCGTGATAACTAGCCTCTGACCTCATCATGGTCCCAGTTCTCATACAGAACTGCAGTATCTTTAAAGAACTCTGTAATCGGATCACAAACTAGAATGCTGCATAGGATTCTGGTATTCTGGCATCCAATATGGATTTCTAGAATGTTGTGCTTAAAGGTGCCAGCCACATGTAATACAATCAAGGCAGCCCCCATCCCGGAGACAGTCTCTGAAATCTCAGGCTGGTGGTGTTGGGGGAGGAGGGGGCTGTGTCCATCGGCTCCTGCCAGAAGCCTTGGCAGGACATGGTCCTCAGTGCAGACCCGAAGCCCTGCAACCTCCCACCACCATCACAGCTGCAGAGGTAAAAAGAACCCAATATCCCAGGAACAGGTGCATACCCAGCTCTGTGCCAGTCCTGCCTGTTTACCTTTTGCTTTGTTAATTACATGTCAGAGTCCCAGAGGGCACCCAAACTAATAGGAAGCACTTCTGTAACTAGCCTGCCACCCACTGATTCAGAAATGGAAATTGCATTCTACAACCTATGGCTTCCACCAGCTAGCCAAGGAAATCCTTGAAATCAGGATGCCAGTTAGAGTTGGGTCTCTCGATTGTGTCATTTACCAATTACATAACAGACATAAATCTGGGAACAGAGCCACGAATCTGCCTATGAGATGCTGGCTGATCTCAAGGCCATCAGTGATCTGGGGGTGAGAAACACTCCCCACCACAACCCCTCCAATTTAGCGTGCAGCTGGCAAAGCATCACTCCTACAAGCCCTGCTCTGGCCACCTGTCCGCAGGGAGGCAGCCCTGTGCTTTGCTTTGAGCCCTACTATCTTTTCCAAATGAGCGTTACGTCTTTAGAAGTGGCCCTCGACAGGAAGGACTCAAAAGCCAAGGCCCCTTCCAGAATCTAAGATAGCAAGAGCGTTGCAATTTGGAGAGTCGAGTTAGGATTCATCATCAGAGAGCAATGCAGCATCATTAAAATAAAAACTGTGCCTTTTTAAAAAGAAAAAAAATGCAAATGTACAGCAAATCCCTAAACTTGAACCATTTCCTAGTGCCTTTGCTGGACAAACAGAAAGGGGCGGGGTTGGGGGGAGGGGAACATTTTTGGTGGTGTGTGCAGTTCCTACTGGATGAGTGTGTGTTTATTAATGTCGAATTTCAAGCAGGAGACGTTGAGCCTTAAGCAGGTTCTGAGGCGGAGATGCCCCCCCAGGGCAGAGGTCAGAATTTGTTCTAGTCAGTGTGACACTCAAGATTCAAAGGGCAGCTGGACTAGAAGGGCCTCAGCAGCCCCTGGGAGAGGGCCCTGGCTGGAAGCCGTGCCTGCAGTCCCCCAGCCCAGCCCCCAGACACAGTGCAGAGCACTGGCTGGATCTCCAAATGGTCCCACTCCAAGTGGGCGGCAGTGTTCTCGGCACGACCAGGACTCACGTGGAAAGCAGGAGCAGCAGCAAGCGGTCCTCAGCCTTCCCCTCTCCTATCCTTTGGGTCTCGTTTTGAGTCTGGTTTCACACCTTCAACAAGGGATGAGCAGGTCCTCTGAGCACTCTGGCATTTGTCATTGCTAAGCCCACATCTGTCGGTGCTGGCAGTTGACAAAGTATGTAAGAGGGGATGGAAGGAGACATGTTCATTGCTTAGCTGACTAACTGGCTGATTGCAAATACTGGCCACTCATGGTTCTGGCCTCATTTTTGAAATCCAGTCTCAAGGATTCAGGTTCCTGCTCACACCCCCAGCTGATGCTCAAGTAACACAGCCACAAGGCTGTCAGCCAGATGAGGGGTGAGACTGTGAGCCCCTTTTCCTCTAAAGCCTTCATTCTGAGCATGAGGTCACAAAAAATAATAATAATAATGAAAGTGGCTACAAAGTATGACCGTGTGGCCCACCAGGGGTCTGTCCAAAGGGGGACTCCAGAAACGTTTCAGAATGGAAAGAGCACTTAACCACCTTTGGGGGTGACTAAAAGTGCAGGCACGTGTGTGAAAAGCTATCCCACCTTATGCCTCCAATTGGAGCTCTCAACTCATAACACAGTCCAAGAACTATCGATTCTCCCTGTTAGGAAGACATAGCTCAGAGGCAGACGGGGATACATCTGGTGAAGAGATCTGACGAGAGATGTGACGTTTCTCCAGGGGAGAAAGCAGTTGTTATTGAAGATGGATTCCGAAAGTCCACATTATATTCACGTTTCAAACCTCCTACCTGTTAGGTTTGTTGTTGTTTTCTCTCTCTCCTTAACAAATAAGTGATGCCCTTGAAAATGTCTCCATATTTGTTTCTGTGCATCTCCATTTCCTAGGCTCTGGAGTCTCAAAAGTGGCAAAGCACTTTACAGTAGTAACTGAGAAATCTGGAGTTCTCGCTTCAATGGTCCCTTGTTTGTACAGATTGGGTGATCTTTTATAATTCCTAGGAGGCAATGAATTTTTTATATTTCCTGAAGGTTTCTAAGCGTGGGAGAGGGGCACAGAATGCAGTTCTGTTCTGGAATTCTTTTCTGCTTTCAACTGATCTTCTTTGTGAAAATCCCAGTCACATTTTAGTTTAAACTTGAGCCAAGGCCCATTGCCACCTCTGGGATGGGTATTGGACCTACATTCCAAGTGACAAGGTCCTCTTAACATCCACTCCCAAAATGGCTTTGATTCAGCCATGCCAGGTAACAGAGTTGAGCTCCTGTTCTATTTAGGTTTGAATACCTGGGGTCCCAAGGAGATTACAGGGACCCCTTGAGAAGTCAGACTGGGATTCCATAGAGAAAGCTCAAGACCGCCAAACTCTCTTCTCCTGCCTGGAAAAGTGAGCCTTTGTGAAGAAGTGACTTATATGTACAATTGTGATTGTGATTGTGGTTGAGTAAACCTCCAGACTTTCTCTACCGTGGTCTGTGGTCTATTCCTGGTCATACGCCATTCTCCATTCTGTCATTCCCCACATGTTCATTGAGTAACTACTCAGTCCCCAGCCCTCTGCTGGGTACTGAACAAATTCCCAACAGCCATCCTTCTGGGGAAAAAGACCTAAAGCAACTAACCAGGATGATTTCAGATGCGAATAGAGCCATGAAGGATATAAAACAAGATATTTTAGAGACTGGGGTAGGATGGTCAGGGAATGCCTCTCTGCAAGAGCTAAAAAACTAGTGCAAGCAAGAGGCAATGTGGGTGAGAGCATTCCAGGCAAAGGCCAAAGCTGGTGCAAAGGCCCTGAGGTAGGAAGGTGTTTCTATGTGGGAGGCACAGAAGGAGGTGAGCTCACAGAGCTAGGCAGCATGGCTCACAAGGGTTTTTCAGACTTCACCCCAGTAGTGGAGGATTTCAGGAGGGCTGTGACTATATGAAATAAACTTAGCTCATTTCTGATGCTCACCCATCAGCCACAAGTCCCTACTTACCAAAATATTGTGATGCTTTTGAGTATTAGATTTGTGTAAAGCCTTGTGGTGGAAAGAGCACTGGCTGGCCCAGCTCTTCAACCGACTCAGTGAGATCTTGTGCAAATCCTGGCCCCTATCTAGGCCTCAGTTTCCCGCAATAAAATGAGAAGTTTTGGGATGATGCTTCCACCTATGGTCCTGTGGTTGAGCCTTGGTGTGGGGCTGCAATTAATCATGAGCAGAAGCTGCCCACTGGTGCTGTCATGCAGGGCCCACCAGAGGGCGCTGTGGACCACGGATTGGAGAAGGCTGATTAACAGAAAGGGGGAATTGGTTCACTGGCCACTCTGCCAGGTTTCAGCCCTGGGAGAGTCGATATTTTCTTTTGTAACTTGCATTGTTTTTTTTCTTTGAAAAATTTTTTACAAAAAGATAAGATAAATTTGAATAAGATAATTTTCTTCTAAAAATATGAATGGTTTCTTTAAAAAGATTAAACTCTTTTACTAGGAAAAAAAAAAAAGAAGAGGGAAGAACATTCCAGGTGTTGGGGACAGCATGTGCGAAGACACTGTGGAGGGGAATGACAGATGTGAAGGTCAGTGCGGCTGGAGCAGAGTGGGAGAGAAAGCGGAGGCCAGACTCTGTAGGGCCACGTCAAGGAGTCCCTGATCTTTGTCTTAAAAGCAGTGGGAACCATGAGAAGGTTTTATACTGGGCAGAGTGAGAGCATCACGTGCCCTTGGCTGATGTCTAGAGCTGGGACTGACTTGCTCAAGGAGCTGGGCACATAGTAGGCACCCAGGGCCTACAGAATGAGAAACAAATGCAGGGCAGCTGGCCGTCAACCCTCTGCAAAGCCGCTGACCACTGGGAGGAAAGGTTCGTCCTCCCTGGAGCAGGTGGGAGAACGGAAGATTAATTATCTCAGCCATGTAGCTGCTCGCCCTCCCAAACCCGCCAGTGAGAGGAGAAGCAAAGGTATTTGGCTGGACACAGCGTGGGAGCACCCTGGACACAGGGTGGTGGCTGTACTTCCTACGAAACATTTAGAGAACTCGGCAGTTTGCTCCAAGTTTTGAATTCTCTTGTTTTCTGTATTTTGTTGGGATGGGCGCTTTGAGGCTCCTAGTAAGGGCTCATTAAGTATTTGATGAATGGACAAACACAGTTTGAATAACGCAGTTTCAGATTATGCTTTAGGCCTTTTCTCCCTGCACTAACTGCCCACATACCATCTTCTGATCGAGCTCTTGAGAAAGTCTCTTCCCCTCCCTAGGCCTCAGATTCTCCATATGACAGTGAAGAAGGGGAACAAGTTAGATAATGGTCAGCTGGACTCTTATAGTTCTCCAAATCTTCATCTAGTATTTTGCAATGGCCCTGATCTTAAGGATTTCTTTTCCAAGCTCAGCGAGGGGATGGGTTCTGTTGGTGTCTCCCGGCCCAGGGTTTCTGGGCTTTTGTTGAAGTGGGTCCAGGATTCAGTATTCAAAGCTTCCTTCCTGCAGCTGTTCACAGCTCTGCCAGCCTGTGGCCTCAGGCAGCTGCCTCCTGTTTTGTTCCCCCTCAAGGCCTGGACTGTCTGGCTTGGCAATCCCTGGGCTCCGCGATGGTGCCCCAGGGCAGCCTGCAGCTCTTACCCTGAAGTCGGACTAGATTCAGGGCTGGCAGGGTGATGGCCCTTGGTGCTCTCCCATTCATCCACACAATGCCAGAGAAACAAAGGACCACTCCATGAACCCTCAGAAAAAGCAGGTTTCTTAGCAACTTTACAGCCTTTGTTCATGAGCTACTTTGAACTGAAGGAGCGTCTGATCTCCTGCCAGCTCCTGCCTGGGGATGGGGAGAAGGGATGGCAGGTCTGCCTTTGCTGGAGCTGAGAGCTAAGATCCCCCGACACTGCTCTCTATTTAATATAGATCATTAATTCGTTAACACTCAACTCAGGGCCAACAGCACTATGACTGATGACGCCGTGAAACTTACCTGACACATATATGTTTTCCATCAGGCACATCTTAGCGCTCAGGAACACTACACAGTGCCTCGGCATTGAACTTCGGGGCCATTTTAAACCAAAACCACCAACAAAAGGCACAAAAATGTGAAAAACGTGGCACGAAATAGACCACAAAAAGGATGAGAGCTGAATTGTTTACAGCATGAGAGCTGAATTGACCTCAGCTGGGAACATGAATGTTAGATGACTCAAACTTTGTGTCCCTCTACACATGCACATGTCCCCAATTGACCTCGAAGGTGCTGCCAGGGTTGGTTTTGAGGTCACAAATACATTTTAGTGAGTAGGCACAGGCACAAGTACAAAATCAGTGAATGATGAGAATCTTTTAATTAATTGTTATTATTTTATTCTTTCTCCTCCACTTAACTTCTGGAGGACAAGGCTCTTTCTCTATTGTCTACCAGCTCTTAGCAGAACCGGTTTGGACCTCAGAAAATACTGAGATGCTGATGTGCCAACCATCAACCTCTGGAATTTTAGTTTTGTGAAATGTGTGAATAATCCTTATTACTTATGTCACCATTCGCTACATATTTAGTTAAGGCCAAAGTAAAACAGCTTTCCAGGGCTGACTTTTCCTTACTAAATTTGTGAGACTGATTATAAATCAAAAGTTGTTCATTTTTCCATGGACATTAGAATTTTCCCATGACCCAAATAATTATGTGCAGTGTTCTAGAATCCACTGAATTATCCCATAGCAGAAATTTTCTTGGTGATCTAGCATTTAAAAAAAAGGAGAAGTATAGAGGCTAAGTGATTTTTTGCTTTCCTATGACAGGGTTTACACAAACCCCTACTTTCATACATAATTGGTTTCTGAAAATGTGACTAATGTTGAAAGTACAAAAGTTAAACAAATTTATTCTGCCAACAGAGCACATCTCTTCCTAGGGAATAAAAAAATGGTATAACATTTCCAATTACAACTGCATGTTTGGCCACAGTCTTTGATGATCTATTTCCTGACTTTCCTACTGTATCTTCAAGTTGATTGTTTTCCTTCACTAATCAAAAAACGGGCTTAAGAACATCGTGTTAGAGCCTAAAGATTCATCCCTTTCAACAAATCTAACGATTTCTCTTTACATAAATTATAAAGCGTTAACGATACACATACTTTATTGAGATACAATTCACACACTTAAAGTGTATACTATTCTCAGTATATTCACAGGTTTTGCAAACCACTTCCTAATTCCCGAACATTTTTTCCCCCAAAAGGAAACCCTATACCCATTAGCAGCCACTCCCTATCCCAACCCATCTCCTCCCCCCTCCCCCCTCAGTCCCTCAGCCACTGGTAACTGCTAATCTGTCTCTATGGATTTGCCTATTCTGGACATTTCGCATAAATGGAATCATATAATATGTGGCCTTTGTGTCTGGCTTGCACTTAGCACACGCTTTTCAAGATTCATCCATATTGTAGCATGTATCGTACTTCATTCCTTTTCATTGAAGAATAATATTCCACTGTCTGACTATAATACCACATTTTGTTTATCCATTCATCAGCTGATGGACACTTGAGTTTTTCCACCTTTGGGCTATTGTGAATAATGCTGCTATGAACATTCATGGACAGGTTTTTGTGTGGACATATGTTTTCATTTCTCTTGGGTAGATACCTAAGAATGGAATTGCTAGGCCATGTGGTAACTCTTATGTGTGACACTTTGAGGAACTGCTAACCTGTTTTCCAAAGTGGCTGCACCATTTTGGCATTCCTACCAGCGCTATGCAGGTTTCCATTTCTCCATACCCTCGCCTATGCTTGCTATTCTCTGTCTTACTGAGTATAGCTATGCCAGCAGGAATGAAGTAATAGCCCGTTGGGGTGTTGATTTGCATCTCCCTAATGATTAGTGGTGTGGAACATCTTTTCATGTGCTTGTTGGCAGATTTTTGGAGAAATGTCTATCAGACCCTTTGCCCACTTTTTAATTGGCTTATCTGTCTTTTTATTATTGAATTACAAGATTTCATTATATACCTGGGGTGTCAAAAAAATGTATACACGACTTGCAGTCATCTTTTTTTATCGGTATATATTGAGTATTACAATTTTAATAACAGTTTCTTCCTTTCTTAGAATGTGTACACATTGTTTTTGGCACCCTCTGTATTCTGAAAACAGAATGTAATTTGCAAACATTTTCTCCCATTCTGTAGGTTGTCTTTTCACTTAAGTGATAGGCACATACTTCTTACCACTACTATTGGTACTTCCATTTTTTCATTCACACAACTTAATAAGGTTAAAATGCAATAAAATAATCAAGCACCTTCCCAGTCTTCACTGTGCAGATGGATATGGAGACTGCCTGTGTGGAAACTGAACAACTGGCAGATACACGGGACCATCCTGCCATGTTGCAGTAGGATGTGTTTCTTCCCTAACATGCAGAAATCTGAACCATGGGAAGTTTAGGGTGTCAGCATGTAAAGGATGAAATAACTACCATTTAGTGAGC